TCTCATCCGAATATAATTGGATTAATCAACAATACAAACATTTGTTTGAACTTTATTATCGAAGAAGACAATTTTTTTTTCTAATGAGATGCTTAAACAACAGTTCATAAATTGAAACGATTCATAAACTGATAAGAAATTCAGTGTAGATATTGAGTTTCTGTTTGTAGATAAAAATCTTCTAAATTTGCGGGGGAAAAGTGAATTCACGACTTAGACAGAGGCACAAATTCACCTTTCCTAGTACATGGGAAGATAACCAACCATTGATACAACAATCTTCTGTTCAAAGACAAAATTAAATTGGGTTGAATTTTGGTCAATCACATCTTTATTGTAAGATCAACTTTCATAAACTCCTCTAGTGGCTAGCCCTGTTATGAGCAATGACGAGTATTTTAGATAACAATGTTTACGAAGATTTTGAGACACATTACTTGGATCTATTTTGTATTATGCAAACATCAGTGGAGAGGCCAGGTTTTGCAGAGCTTCATGTTCGTTCCGGATTTGTTGAATTCTCTATTATAAACAATTTGCCTCTGTATTCGTGAGTTTATTTTACTAAAATGTTTTGTTTGTTTATATTAAAAAAGTCTTCTGTTGAATACGCTAGTTATATAATAGAAAAAGCAGACAGAACCTCCTCACCACTAAACTGTAAAACACACTTACAAAAAAAGTTTTCATTCTCTTTGGGGCTTGTTATGTACTGAAGATGAAGTAGTCCTACAAAAGACTGAATGAATGGCCAAAGCTGACACTAACTCAATCATAATGCAAGTTTGGAAAACCCCTCTCTTTAACAAAACTCTCTTCCTCTTCTCTTCACTCACTGTTAAGCAACAAAACACAAACTAAAAAAGAAGCAACAATTTCTTATTATAAACTATGATACCACATGTCGTATGAAAATGCAGAAAGTCCTCAAACGCTAATTACGTTCTGCCTATCCGCAGGTGCAACGCATTCCCAGAGGGAACGATAAGGCGCTATATCTGCCGGTTTTAACCCCAAAGCAGAAATGTTTCGCCCATACTCCTGGTGAAATATTAACCAATGATGTTTACTTCTTTGTACACTAGTATTTTCAGAGAAATTTTATTAGACACAATAAGGCGGTTACCTGAATATCAAGGAATAACTGCATACACATCTTGTCTGTTTCAGATACATTATGGTCAGAGGCACCTGATGCTGCACCTCCTCGTTTCTGTGCACGTGCACTTTGACGCAATTTCTGAAGCGAAGACTCTGTTTTTCTCGCCTGTAACATATTACAATCAGTATCTCCACTGCCTTTTACCAAACATCAATTACTCACTATCGTTGCATCTTATTATTAATAGTAAGAGTTTGAAAACGATTTCTGAGGGAAAAGAATGATGCTTGCTTATTGTTACGCGGGTTCTATTGTCAATTCAAATCCTGTTTTAGTTCTGTAAAACAGTGTGACAATCTATAAGATTTGTAAAATTTTCATCTACAAATCTTTTATAAAATATTGAATTATGATGTGCCATTGTGACATAACATTAATCGAAAAGATTTAACAGTCTTTTCCATCATTATTTACAAATGATAAAACTCAAATTCAAAAGCTCGGGTCTTACTCGTGAATTGTACTAATTGATAATCCTAAAAAAGTGATGAAAACAGAATACTTACCGCGCTAACAAGTTCAGCAGCTAACTCATAATACCGCCTGGTAATTTCAGTGACAGTGCCAAGCAGTAACTCCTCCCTTGTTTTGTCGGTCAAGTAATGCCTAGCCTTATCCCCCTCCAGAAAGGCCTAGATAGAAAAGGTGCAATAATCCACACTTCCGTCAAGAATCCATCAGTCAAGTAACTATAAACGCTCTGAAAACCGTAACCCCAAAGCTGAATGAATACCTTTAGAGGACGCAATATTCCAACAACGTATGGTGAGTGCCTAACAGGCAGTGGTTTATTAGACATCCTATATGTTGCAGTTATTCCTTTTAGCTGCCTTAGGTCCTATAGGAGAGAAGAAAACATTTAACACTATAGACTTGAATAGGTATGATACTTGGATAAGAACACTAAACCTATTCAGCTACACATGCAAATTATACTCAACACTGTTCTTATAGGTCTCACAAAGGCAGTCAAACAAATCATCAAGTGCATGAATTAAACGATGGACCTAACGTTTCTTCAGGGATTTACCTCAACAGATTTATCAACAATTACTTCAATTATTGTGTTGGTAAGTAAAGGTAGGACTTTCTTTAATGATTTTTCACCCTGTAACATGCTCATTTTCACCACATCAAGAACTTCCGGGGAGCATGAAGATACATAGTGCAATATATGTCCAAGGCAATCGCCACAAACTTCTGAGACTAGACAATTTACATCATGTATCACCTGCAGGGAAGAAAACGTGTAAATATTCACATCAAATCAAGCAATCACGCATATGGTGAAATATGACCAGATTTGTTGTATTTATGCGAAAAGCAGATATTTCAAGTTTACTTGTTTTCCACAGCATTTTCTGTCATCTCTATTCTAAAAATTAAGTTCACGTAAAAATGAACTTTTTAGGCTGTCCTCCAGAACATAACTGCAGCTGATTTAGTCAACATAAAAACGCAGAGTTCCAAAAAAATTCCAAAGCAAGAGGAGCCGAGAAATAATCCAGATAAACAGTGGACTTACATATACAAAATCATCTGCAGAGGCTGAAACTGCCCATTCACATCCAGGACTCGGGCTGGTACTACTACCCTTTCTAGTATTCAACGCAGATGAAACCCAAATGCAGTATCTACATGTTATTAACACATTGTCAAAATGAGAATTTAAACTAAAAAATAGTAAGCATGGATAATATTAAAATACAATTTGACAAACCTCGAAAGAAGCTGCAAGGTCAAGCGAAGAAATTTATCAGCAGCAGAGAATATAAGAACATCTTCTTTCCAGCATGCTCGCAAGCTTTCCAGAAGAGTAACGCTTTGTTTGAGCATTAAGTTGGGCGAACTCGATTTATCTGAATTAGAGTCCTGAATGAAAACCAGAGATGCAGAAGCAAGGGCAGAATCTAAGGCTCCAGCTATTTCCTGAAACCTGAAATCGTGTATTTATGGAATTAGAGAAGTTTGGAGGCCACTAATCTAATGGTAAGTCAACAGCCATCTATGATTTTTATCAAGTACCTCAATGAAAAGTATACTCCCACATTCCATTGCTTCATGAATTCGATATATACAGCTTCAGCTCGAAACTTAGTGACAGCAGACCTTGATGGACAATAACCTTCATAAAAAGTATATGGTATGACTCAACTGAATAGTACTATCCAAACTCTTCGTTACCTAGTATTAAATTCAATTCTATGATTATAAAAGACACATGAAGACCAGTTCACGACGCTTCTGATAAGCCATGTAATCAAGCTCAGATCAATTACTCTACCTTCAAGATAGGCCAGGAAATCCAAGCTTGCCTTGTAATTCTTCAAGAATTCAGTAGGCCTTCCAGGAGAAAAGGCTCCTGGTTTGACTTTCTGGATTGCCGAGAGAACTTCTTTGAGGATTGAATTTGCCAAGAAGTTGAAGACGTGCAAACCTGATTTGTCTGTTAAGCGGAGCACGATAAATGCAAAGAGTAATATGAGTGAGTTATAAGACAAAAAACACTAAGAAGGAATAAAATGTCCATTTGTGATTAACGAACAGGACTTGCTATTACATGAAAATATGAAGATAATAAGCATGAAATCCAAGCCAGTGTGTTAGTTCCATATAGACCTTCTTAGAACAATTAACATGAAAACTTCTTTGGCATAGAAAAATGGAACTTTAACCAGGTGACTGGAGATCTACAGCAAAAATGATCAAACTGAGATTTGTGGGAATTACCTGTTG